GGACATCACTTTCTTAAGTCTTTCTGTTAGTAGCTTTGATATGATCTTATAGACACTGTTAATGGGCCTGAAATCCTTCAATTCTGTTGCACCCACTTTTTTTGGGATCAAAGCTATGAAAGTAGCATTAAAGCTTTTTTCAAAGTAGCCTTGACTATGTAAGTTCTGAATGGTTGCTATCACATCCGTCTTCACCACCTCCCAACACTGTATGAAAATGCCATAGTGAAACCATCTGGGCCAGGAGCCTTATCTCCTGCACAAGCAAACACACATTCTTTGATCTCTTGATCTCCAAACTGACTTTGCAACATTACATTATCTTCTTCATTCAAAGTAGCTTGATCTGTGGGGCTGAGCTGAGGTCTCCAGTGTTCATTCTCTTTGTAGAGGTTTTGGTTGAAATCTATGATCTCCTCCCTGATCATTGCTGGTTCTGATACATTAGCTCCATTGATCAGAAGACTATCAATGCTGTTGTATCTCTTGTGGCAGTTAGCTGTTCTGTGGAAATTTTTTGTATTTTTATCCCCTTCTTTCAGCCATATAGCCCTGGATCTTTGCCTCCATGCCACTTCCTCCTTTTTTGCCACCTCCTCAAACTCTACCAGTCAGAACAGCTCTCAGAAATGACTCATCATCAGACAAGCACCTATGAGTCTGGATCACATCTAAATCATATAGCTGGTTTAAAATGTTCTGTTTCTGTAGACCTAGATTGCCTTGAGCAATTCTGCTCCATTCTTTCAACTTCACTTTGAGGGATTTCAACTTGCAAGCTAGAATGTAATCTGGTCTTCCCATAAAAATTTCAGAATCCCACCACCCCTTAATTCTCTCATTAAAATTCTCAGTTTGCAACCACCAATTTTCGAATTTAAAATAGGACAAAGACCTCTCCCAGTTTCCACATTCTAGTAGCAGAGGATTATGATCAGAAGTGACTCTAGTCATAATAGGTAGCTTGATCTGTGGGGCTGAACTGAGGTCTCCAGTGTTCATTCTCTTTGTAGAGGTTTTGGTAGAAATCTATGATCTCCTCCCTGATCATTGCTGGTTCTGATACATTAGCTCCATTGATCAGAAGACTATCAATGCTGTTGTATCTCTTGTGGCAGTTAGCTGTTCTGTGGAAATTTTTTGTATTTTTATCCCCTTCTTTCAGCCATATAGCCCTGGATCTTTGCCTCCATGCCACTTCCTCCTTTTTTGCCACCTCCTCAAACTCTACTGTCAGAACAGCTCTACTTTCTGGTATTCTATTTGTATACAGGAATTTCCCTTCCATTAATAAAATTATTTACCTTATCAAAAACATTTCTAAGTTTTAGTTTTTTGATTTATTTGATTATCATTGTGGCCCTCAACATCATGGGCTTCAAACTATGATTCCTTGATCTTCTTCTTAGTCGCACTTTGTATATAATTTTCCAGCAGTATATTATTTTATCCTTGATGCATTTTATTCAACCAAAATCTACAGCTGAATGGTGTTCTAGACTCCCTCAGAAGAATTTATGCTTGAAATAGTCTATTAACTTTGATGATATTATAGTATCAGTCTAGGTCTCTGGTGATTTATTAGAGTTTCTCCTAGTGTCGTTTTTAAGGTAGGAGACAATATTTCGGTTGTGCTTTCCTTTTCTCCAGCCTGCTTTCTTTTACAAAATTACTTCATCAGCTCATAATTCGTTGTGCTTAGCGGAAGTTACCTCTTTTTTTCTTGATATCCTTGTAGCTGCTTGTTAAATAGATAACTCTGAAGTTAACTCACATGCCTAATAGTTAGGTTTAAATTTATTTTTAATCACTTGTTAAATTATTTAGGTAATGAACCTTCTGCCTTTTGATTTATTTCTCTGATATGGATAAAATTATTTGATGCATGGATATCAACAGGCATTAAGTGGATCAGAGAAGGGAGAATCAGTTGCCATGCTACTCTCTCCTGCAATGTCACCTCTACCTACTGTGGACTCTTCACGACAGCCGAGTGGAAGCTCATTCACGAGTTTTCTTACAATTCCTTTACAGGCTTTCATTTTGATGCTTGGTTTCACGGGTTCTGACATTGACATGGTGTGCTAGCTTAGCCCCAACTGCATCTTACCTGTTTTTTATGTCCTTGGTTTGCTCACACATGGATTCTTGCTTTCAGGATATGTATGATAAGGCTGACAAACTACTTTCTTCATCATTAAATGAGTGGGGTTTGTTGTTAGCAGCATCAGATAATCTTAATCCTGTTTGGGCTCAAACTCTTGGAGATCCATTTTTACGGCGGCTCATTTTAAGGTAGGTTGCTACTGTTCGCCAACATTTTCTTCAGTACTCATCTTAGTCATCTAGTGTCAAGTCTTGAAGTAGTCCCTCGAGTGGCTGAATATGGAAGTAGTTGATTGGACATTGAGCACCTGGCAAAATCTAATACTTCGCTGGTATAAATTGCTGATTCACTCGTACATTTTTTTATTCCAAGATGTTGGTTTGGAGTGTCGGTTAAATTGGTATCTATTTGTATTTTCTCAAGGCTTATGGGTGTGAGGGTGGATGTGATGTTGGTTCGGTATGTCAGTTAAATTGGTCTCTATTTGTATTTTCTCAAGGCTTATGGGCGTGAGGGTGGATGTGGAGGTTAAGCATGAATTCTTTTTTGAGGAAATTTCTTGAGAATGGTAACAAAATCATAAATGTGTAGCACAAAGGCTGTGCTAAAACCATCTGTACAATTTAAAGGGAACATAAAGTTAGCTTTCTTCTACTTCCTAATACAGGAATTCTATAATATCCGAGGCACATAATTTAACTCTTGTCCAAGCCTTTTCGTCTTCAAAAGACCTCTGTAATCATTGTTTCTCTGTCTCACTGATGCAGGAATTCTATAATCTTGCATTGTTTTATCCCTTGTTTGGTCATTATTCTCAATTTCTCATATCCTGTATAGGGAATCTTCGTAAAACTTGTACAGGAATCTCAACCTGGTTCTTATAATACGAAGAGTAGCTTCCACGTATTGGTTTGGTGGTAGTTTGGTGCACCGTACCTTTTCCTCTGTTCATATCAGTACTATTAGCAATGCAATGCTTTCTCTATTATTTGCTTCGAGCATCGTAATATTTTGCTGTCATTACTATTCCTTATCCTTGAATGCTGTGTAATGTTTTCTCTATTATTTGATGTCTTCTTTACTTCTGTGTTCTTTTTCATACTGCTTTGATGTGTTACTTGAACCGAGGATCTTTCGGAAACAACCTCTACCTCCAGTCCTCCACGAGGTAGGGGTAAGGTCTGGGTATACTTTACCCTCCCTAGACCCATCCCACAGGGTATGTTGTTATGGGGACTTCCTAAATTATTGTACCAGATTCAATATGGGATAATAATTCCTGTATTAGGCTATTAGCTGTGTATGAGATAAAATAGCAAAAAAGACCAAAAATGCCCTTGTTTGTATTAGTTGTTTTCAAACCCTTCGAGCATGCTGGGGGTATAATTTGGACAAAATCTTATCAAAATATAAGGGGACTGCACACAAGTAATGGTGCAAGAATATAGAGTAAATCTTTTATATTTTAGCAAATTTCTAACCAATCTAATGAAACTTAAGTAGTCCTTTTAATAAGTAAATATGTTTTAAAGTTATACCGGTCTACTTTTCTGTTGCTCTTTTCCTCGCAAAAACTTCGATGGTAAAACACTCTGAATATTGCAGATTCATATTCTGTCGGACAGTGCTGGCGCTGTATGCTCCAACCTTCAACAAGACAGAATTTCTCCCTGAATGCATCCCTTCCCTTCCAGATGCTTTCCTGCCAACTAGTGACACATGTCAAAGGATAGTATTGCAACTTGCTGACATCTTTGGTGCAACCAGCAAGTTCAATTTTTCAGAAGAGACGACGATGCTTTCTGATAGCAGAAGCCAGGAGAATTGAACTTGGCAACTAAATTATTATTTTTTTGGGTCAATTCTGGTAGCTTTGTAAATTGATTTGAAAATGAGGAGGCTTCTTTGGTTTGTCCCTTCTCTATTTATTTCATGTTTGTCTGTTGATGTGATTTGGTGTTCTGTAGGTTGATATATATACTTGTCCAGTTATATGTGATGCTTGTGAAGTCTGAACAATGGTTCCTCCAACATTTCCAGTTTGATTGATTTCCCAAATGTTTTCAACGCGAGCTGCGCTCATGCTACAATATGTATTGGCTAAACTCTCTTCTGCACATCTTTCTTGTTTCTTTTAGCTCAAATGTTTCATATGTTAATGCGAAAATCATTGTAAAGAAGGATTTAGTTCTTCTTGGAGGTGTATTTAAGAAGTCAGCTGTGAGGGTGTTTGGTTAATTGTTTGTAGTTTCATGGTAGCTTTCAGTAGTACTTTGGTTTATGAAGGAGATGATGGAAACTGTAAAAAGTTGTTCTCTCTTTTGTATTCCATATGCAAGTGAAAAATATTACTATCAGATAGAAAATTGGAAAAATGTTTTCCTTTGTACCAAACACACCCATGTATGACTATACTTCCACATATTTTGGTAAGATAAATTTTTACTAGTTATCCATAATGCATCTTTAAAAAAAGATAAAAATATTGAAAATACCTTTGAACTTGACGCAAATTACTAGTAACTATTGATAGCCTTAAAAACACTCTCCTACTTGATTAACTAAATTTAGATTTACTTCTAATATGCAATATGACATAACAAGTGGTTTTAGACTTTTGTAGAAGTAGTTGAAAACATCTCTAAACTTGACGAGAATTTAGAGATGTATTTCACTCATGTTGTAAGACCGAAGATGTGTTTAAGTTCAGTTAGTCAAGTAGATGAGTGTTTTTAAGGTTGTCAATAATTTGAGTATGAAACTATTAATTCGCACGGAGTTTAGAGTGTTTTCAATACTTGTCTCTTATAAAAAAAAAAATATACTCTTTTTTTTTTGTTTATTTTAAAAAAGAAAAAGATAATTTTAAAGATTAGTAGTGCATTTCAATATCCATAAGGAGATTGTTGGGAAGATATTTCGAAAGGGGAAGAGAATATATTACTACTACGACGTCGTTGATAGTAGCTGTTAGGCTGTTAATCGTCTCTTTCAAGTAGCCAAGAGACTCCACACTTGAAATTCTTCCATTTTATGAACAAGGCAATTTCTTTTGCGAGGTTAAAAGGTGCAGGTACTTTGATTGCTCTCTTCAATTTGCAACCTAGGATCTCTCTGCAGAATTAAAGGTTCCATTAAAATTGTATAGGTAACTGATACTATCAGCCTTAAAAGGAAAAGTTACCTACATTAACAAGTCTTATCGGAATACACACAGAGAGTACCAGGGTGTGCTTAGTGGTCAATGCTGTGGGTTGAGCACCGTGAGGTCTGTTCAATTTCGCAACATAGACATAAAATACTAAGTGATTTCTTCTCATTTGTTATTGTTTTAGTGGATAGAGTTATCTGATAGTTGTTCCATGGAATTACGAAAGCTGGTCTGGGTACCACGGTTATCAAAAAAGTTTTCCTTTGCTTCTATTAATATTACTTGGAAGAAATTCCTTAGTGGCTGAATATTTTATGTATCGTGAACGACACACTTTAATCATTTAGGATGATCTCTCTAAACAAGCGCAAGCTTATTGCCAAATGTCAACTGGCTCCTTAGGGGGTTATAAAACATTGACATTGATTCGTAAAACTGTAGGCAATAGTTTGAAGTTGTGTATCCAGCAATATTTGAAGGCACTTAATTTCTATATCGACCTGTCTGAAGTCTTCCTTATAACTATGTGCTTATTGTTGATGATGAAGCAGGTGCTTGATCAGATGCCTTTTGTGTTCTCCTAGTTACATTTTGATTGCTCTTGGGATCTCGGACATATTACAGTCTTGAAAGAGTTCCCAACCAAAGCTTTGGCCGTGGCTGAAATCATGGCTGGAACTTCCTTTTTCTCCAGTCCACCACTATACACTACTAGTACTAACACCAAGTACAGCCATAGCCCGTCACCAGACAGACTTAAATTCTTGATAGACAAGTCAAAAAACATCAGACAGCTTCTACAGATTCATGCATTTCTTATTCGCAATGGTTTGGAGAGTGACCCAGTCTTGAATTTTAGGCTCCAACAATCATACTCTTCCCTTGGACACCTCCAACATTCTGTTACTGTTTTTAAGCGCACTCATAGTCCAACTGTGTTCTCTTACACAGCCATTATCCATAATCATGTGATCAATGATCTCTATGAACAAGCCTATGTCTTATATATCCAAATGCTAACACAAAATATTGAGCCTAATGCATTTACATTTTCTACGCTGCTTAAAACTTGCCCACTTGAATCAGGAAAAGCCCTTCATTGTCAAGCCCTGAAACTCGGATATGAATCTGACACATACGTTCGAACTGCTCTTGTAGATGTCTATGCAAGAGGCAGTGACATTGTGTCAGCTCGCAAACTCTTTGACACTATGCCTGAAAGGTCCTTGGTGTCTTTAACAACAATGATTACTGGATATGCAAAGAATGGGCATGTCCAAGAAGCAAGAGAGTTGTTTGATGGGATGGAAGACAGGGATGTTGTTTGTTGGAATGCCATGATTGATGGGTATGGCCAACATGGTAGACCTAGTGAAACTTTGGTTCTTTTTAGGCAGATGTTACTGTCAAAAGTGAAACCTAATGAAGTAACCGTGGTGGCTGCTCTTTCTGCTTGTGCGCAAATGGGAGTACTGGAATCAGGTCGTTGGATTCATGCTTATGTGAAAAGTAACAGAATCCAAGTAAATAAACATGTAGGTACTGCTTTTATTGACATGTATAGCAAGTCTGGGAGTTTAGAGGATGCAAGAATGGTGTTTGATCAGATGAGAGATAAGGATGTCATAACATGGAATTCGATGATTGTAGGATATGCGATGCATGGATTTAGCCTTGAAGCTTTGCAGGTGTTCTATGAGATGTGTAAGTTGGGTCTCCAACCTACTGATATAACGTTTATTGGCATTTTAAGTGCTTGTGCTAATGCCGGATTGGTGTCTGAAGGGTGGACTTATTTTCAGTTAATGGAGAAGTATTTAATTGAGCCAAAGATTGAGCACTATGGTTGCATGGTGAATCTTCTTGGACGAGCTGGACAGCTAGAAAAAGCTTATGAATTTGTCAAAAGTATGAAGATTGATTCTGATCCTATTTTATGGGGAACTCTACTGACTGCTTGTAGGATTCATGGGGACGTAAGGCTTGCAGAGAAAATTATGGAGTTCCTAGTCGAACAGGATCTTGCTACTTCAGGTACTTATGTTCTGCTATCCAACATATATGCTGCTGCTGGTGATTGGGATGGGGTGGCAAAGGTGAGGGCATTGATGAAAAGAAGCGGGGTTGACAAGGAACCTGGCTGTAGCTCCATTGAGGTAAACAATAAAGTGCACGAGTTCCTTGCGGGTGATATGAAGCATCCCAAAAGCAAAGAAATTTACATAATGCTGGAGGAGATGAACAAGTGGCTCGAGGCTCATGGGTACTCACCGCAGATTGAAATAGTCTTGCATAATCTTGGGGAAGTTGAGAAGCAGCAAGCACTTGCGGTTCATAGTGAAAGGCTAGCCATTGCTTATGGACTAATTAGTACTCAGGCAGGAACTACAATCAAGATTGTCAAGAATCTACGTGTTTGTCCAGATTGCCATGCTGTCACAAAGCTCATTTCAAAAATCACAGGACGCAAAATCATTGTTAGGGACCGGAATCGCTTTCATCATTTTGTAGATGGTTCATGTTCTTGTGGTGATTTCTGGTAGAACTATTAGCACATGTTAACAAGCAGGCATGCAGGTTTCCTGTAAAGCGTTCTCTTTTGCATTTTTGTAAATTTCTTTTGTTGTTTTGGTAGAAATCTCATTTTCACCTTTTTGGAAGTATTTCTGTTCGTATTTTAACATTATTGAGGTGTGGGAAAACCTTTACAATAGAAACTGAATTCAGTTTAGGCATGATTGAGGATATTTCCGTACTCGCTTATTCATTCTGTTTATTTTGATGAAAGCATCTATACGGACACAAGTCTCTATATTTTGTGAATTCTGTTCAGGTTCACTTATTCTGAGTAATTTGTAGACATGTAAGTCATCCTCTCTTATCTTTGCACGTATAATCTTTCTTATGTTTCTCTTTACCACCATCTTTGTAGTAAAGGGGTTTGAGAATCTCTTATTTGAATATTGTTAGACTTGAGATTGAGTGATTCGCCTTACCTGTTTATTTGCCTCCTGCCTAAATTACTTGAGGTTGTTCCTTTTGTCTCTCCTGAATTAATTGTCATGTTCTCATCTCTTATTTACTTCTCTCATATGGATCACATATGGCTTGTTAACCTGCTGTTTATGATGCACAGAGTGTTCTATAAGCATCGCATTGCACCATGGTACCTGTCGTAGCTTGATGACATCCTCATACGGTGTCATACTCAACAGGAGCTTATACAGTTGAAACTGACTACCGTTCCAACTTCCAAAGAAAGAGCCGGAGGTGAGATTTCATCACCATCTTCCCAAAAGCAATCCCAATTACAAACTAATATCTGACAGCTAAAGTTATATTGTTCATGTGGAAACAATTCTTTACTTCCTCCCAACCTTACTAAGAATAGTACAAGTGCTTCAGATACCACCAATCTGTGGAAGATGCAACAACTTGTTGAGCATTGTCTGCTTCACAGAAATGCTGCAAAACAGGTGTGTGATAACTTGCTCACTTTCTTTTTCAATCATTGAGGTTCATGTACAGAATTTTGCAGATCACTTCCATAGTCCCTTTGTCAAGAATCTGATGGTAAATCAGCTGCATATTTTCCAGTGCACTAGGTTGCAAAATATGGAAGAAACAAGCGTTTCGCGTCATCAGAAAGTGACATAAATATTAGCTCCATTTCATCTGGAAAAAGATAATCCTTTTCTCAATATTGTCTTTGCAATTTGATTCAATAGTGTTCCATTTTATAGGAAGAAAGCTACCAAATATTGATAGCTCTCAGGTAGAGCATTAGAACGGAAATATCCATTAGCTATATTGGTGTTACGACATCCCTGTTCCTTTGTAGTTTGAAAATGGTATTACTCACAGAAGTTGCAATGAAAGATGTTTTTTAGATCACAAATTTCAAAAGAATTTCTTTCATTTTTGAACGTTGTGTCTAGTCAAATATCATCACATAAACTAAGATGGGCGGAGTATTATTTAGAACTACATAATAGTCTTGTTACAAGGTCAATATTGTGGAGATTTATGTGGTCCTCCATAAATCAAATTAAAATTAGTCCAATAGTAAGTGTGTCGAGTCAGGTTAAGTTAAAAGAGAAGACCTGGTTATTTCAGGGAAATCATGTGATTTTGGTCAATTCGGACAAAATCATCCAATTGAGGGGTAAACTTTGTTAAGTTTAAGTAACGACGGGATATAATTAGCTAGATAGTATAATAAAAGATAGACTTAACTCATAAAAATCCATGTGTGTTGTCACTTGCAACTCTTTGGTGAAACTTTTGGAGCTTGAATCAATAGAGAATCTTTTTTTTTTTGTATGAGTAGACTTTTTCCATTCCAAATATCAATGGAAATTTCGAATTTAAAGCCCAAACTGATAGATTAGTGTAAGCTTATCCATTTACACTCTTTGAATATGAATTTGTTTTTCTAAAAAATCTTGACTTTCGTACTTAGGTGGGACTCTGAGATCCTTTCAATGATCTATATTGCAGGAATATTTATGTAGTCCAATCAATTGTACAAAGTCCGCAATACCAACTAAATCAGGTAAAGTATATTAAAAAAAGAGAAGACAGTAGCCTGTCATATTCTCTATGGGTATAAAATTTGCAAAACAATGATAATTATGTTTAGCTTCTTTTTTTTAATCTATTCACTCTAAAAGGAAATGAATTGGCTATTTTTGTTTTTTCTAATTCGGTTCATCAAATTTGTTTCAAATCTTTCTTGGTACATGAAATACAAATTCTAGTAATCATACACGTTAAAACTAAGCATTTAAATAAGCAAAAAATTGATCCTCTATACTAGGCATAATCCTAGGATTGCAAATACGTCTAGGGAGAGACGAATCAAGAAAATTATCTTCTATGTACAAAAAAGAAGATTTTTCAATTGAAAAATAAAGATCTCATAAAAGACATAAAAACTAATAACAAATTTATAAAGGGCTATAAAAATCGAACTTATTCTTGTCGAGGAAGTATATTCCATTTTAAGCAAATTATGTGAAATGACAAACGTCTAGAGTATATTATATAATATAGCTATAATTATGATTATTTTTAATCCGTTGCTACAGTTTCATGAAATTTTACTATTCAGTTTCTTAATTGTATAAATTCAGAATTTGTATAATTCGGTTCTTGATTATATAAATCCAGAATTTGTATATGCTTATCCTAGCTATTTGATTATGATATATGAAAAGTTCACGATAAATTACCCTGTTTGTATATTGACAAGCAAAATATACAAACAGAGTCCTGGGAAATTCCAATTAGGGGTGTACATGGTCGAGTTGGTTAGGGTTTTTCAAAATATCAAATCAAACCATTTGTGTCGGGTTTTTGAATTTATAAACCAAACCAAACCAATAAAACTCGGGTTTTTCAACCTCGGATTTTTTCGGGTTTTTCGGATTTGCGGATTTTTTTGGGTTTTTAGGTTATAAAGTATTCATACAAACATATAATTTACTTGTACTTCAAATATTTCTTTAGTCCTACCAAAATACAACTATCTAAGGTGTTTCTTAAGAAAATAACACAAAATATGGTATGATTAATGACACTAAAATATCCAAAAAAATAATAATAATGAAATCGGTAAAACAAATATTGCAAATTAATAAGTCATAATGAAAATGATCATAATTTAAGAGCACTAAATCATGCTAAAATAAGTTTAATAAATATTAGTTACATGACTAAATATTAAAGGAAATTAAAATTAGATTATGTATTTTAATTGCCTAAACCTATGTAAAACTAAAGAACAAATATTTAATATTATTGTCATTCTTAGTGTTGAATTGATTTTCTTTTTGCATTAGTATTAATTTAATTTTGATTTGAGCTTTATTATAATTACCAACATCTATGGACTATAATCTTTATTGGACCATTAAGAATTTTAACTTTCTAACATGAAATAATATATTAAAAGATAAAAACTATGAAAAAGTATAAGAAATATTTAAAAATTATATCAAAGTAAATATTTTTACGTATAAAATAAAAATTTAAAATTATATATATAATGTCGGGTTGGTTTTTTTTAGTTGAACCAAACCAACCCAAATATAATCGGGTTTTTTTCCCAATGCCAAACCAAGTCAAACCAAACCACTAGTCGGGTTTTTTTCAGTTTGACTCGATTTGCGGTTTGATTCGATTTTGTACACCCCTAATTCCAATATATATATAAATACAAAATTTGTATATACTTGTCATTTTTGTATATTCGCAAGAGAAATATATACAAACAAAATATACAAATCACAACCTTCATAGCAAATAGAATTATATCTATAAAATGTAATTACCAAAACTATATTTATATATCCCTATTATATCTATGATCATTGCTATTTCTGATTTTTTTTTCTCAAAAAACTATAATGGGCCGTCCCGAAATTTTGCAAAATAAACCCATCCCGTTACGAAACTTTAGAATGGGCCGACCCGAGATTTTGCGGCTTGTCCCAAGTCCATATATAATATGCTTCGTCCTCAAGTGTAAACCCTTTCAAGCCTAGGGTTTTGGTTTGTCCAAAAACCGTTCAAAGGCCATCGACTTCTCTTGCAGCCATCGATACACGTAATTTCTACTCTCTGCATCTTTAATTTTGAGTTCTTCGTAGCCTTTACATTTGTTTAGGTGATGTTTTCTCTGTTCAATTAGTTTAAGATAATACTATAGATTTTTTTATCATTTCCTTTTGTCGTTGATAAACGATGGAAGAGTTGAGCTCATTTTTTTCTGTTTTGCTATGATGAATTTATCTTGAAATTTTGATACTCGATTCGACGATTCGTGTTTATGTTGTGATTTTTGTTTTTGTTTCTGGGAACTTGCTATTGTATTTTGACTGATTTATTTAACTTTTTAGAATTTTAAAGACTATATTGCTTTTAGAGAACCTTGTTTGGATAGGAAGTAAATTACCTTTTACTATTTCAGTTGTCTGCTTGTAACTTGAAAGGTGTTATTTTCATTTCAATCTCATGGATGTGAATGATACATCTCGGTTTATTCAAGAGTTCCTTCTTCTTTGGTTGGATTTTGTTAGCTCCCTTGTCTTAGATTGACACTGAAAAGGGATTCCTTTAGTTCTTTTGTTAATGCCTTTTCCTTTCGTTGTAACTGTGCATCTACTTGATGCTCTTTTCGGATAAAAATCTTTTTTTTTTAATTAAAAAAAGAGTTCCTTTTTCTTTAAAGTTTGAATTCATATATGAAAAAACCTCTAACAGATAGCTACTTTATTGTAATTTGCAATGAATTTATGGTGGTTCTATCTGGGCAGGTTTTAGGATAGGGACTTATATGTTGTAATATGGTATTCCCATCTGAAGGCATTTAACATATTGGACTAGTGTAGCTGTAAATTTTTTGACTTGAGGCTGAAAAAAATATCTTTCTTGATTGTGTATATTTTCATAGTATAAGGATTTGAAGGCACATTTAATAAGCTTGTCAATGGAAGATATTTTTGTAATTTGAATTGCCAAGTGTTATTTGTTTGAGAGAGATCAGTCGGTTGATGGGTTCTTTTTGTTTTTGTGCATCTACTAATGCAGTTTTTTCATTGTACTGTGCAGTCTCAATTCTATACTGCAAGTCCAGATTATAAAAGATGGTGCAGTACAATTTTAAGAAGATTACAGTGGTTCCCAATGGGAAGGACTTCGTCGATATCATTCTGTCTCGCACCCAGCGTCAAACTCCTACTGTTGTGCACAAAGGATATGCTATCTCTCGTATACGTCAATTTTTACATGCGCAAAGTGAAATATACGCAGCAGAATTTCTATGACAAACTCTCCACCATTATTGATGAGTTCCCCAGGCTTGATGATATCCATCCTTTCTATGGGGACCTTCTTCATGTGCTCTACAACAAAGACCATTACAAGCTTGCCCTTGGCCAAATTAATACTGCTAGAAATTTGATTTCTAAAGTAGCAAAGGATTATGTCAAATTGTTGAAATATGGTGACTCACTCTATCGCTGCAAGTCCCTGAAAGTTGCAGCTCTTGGGCGTATGTGCACTGTTATAAAGCGCATTGGCCCAAGTTTGGCTTATTTGGAACAGATTAGGCAGCACATGGCAAGACTTCCCTCAATTGATCCCAATACTCGAACCATCTTGATTTGTGGGTATCCAAATGTTGGCAAGAGTTCATTCATCAACAAGATTACAAGAGCAGATGTGGATGTGCAGCCTTATGCCTTCACTACCAAGTCCTTGTTTGTCGGTCATACTGACTACAAATATCTGAGGTATCAAGTGATCGACACTCCAGGGATCTTGGATAGGCCATTCGAGGATCGTAATATCATAGAAATGTGCAGTATTACAGCTCTAGCACATCTGAGGGCCGTTGTGTTATTTTTCCTTGATATTTCTGGTTCTTGTGGCTATAGCATTGCGCAACAGGCCGCTCTTTTTCACAGCATCAAATCACTCTTTATGAACAAGCCGTTGATGATTGTATGCAACAAAACAGACTTGCAGCCATTAGAAGGGATTTCTGAGGAAGATAAGAAGTTAGTCGCGGAGATGAAAGATGAAGCTATGAAGACAGTGATTGGTCAAGGTGGCGAGGCAACAGATGAAGCAGGTGTGCTGTTAACTATGAGCACTTTGACTGAAGATGGCGTAATTTTAGTGAAGAATGCAGCTTGTGAGAGGTTACTGAATCAAAGGGTGGAATTGAAAATGAAATCGAAAAAGTTAAATGACTGCTTGAACCGCTTCCATGTTGCTATATATGCCAAAACAACGTGACCAGAAAGAGAGGCCGGCATGCATACCTGAGGCAGTGTTGGAAGCCAGAGCGAAGCAGGCTGAGGCAGATGCTGAGAAACAGAAAAGGAAGCTCGAGAGAGATTTGGAGAATGAGAATGGAGGTGCTGGTGTTTATTCTGCAAGCTTGAGGAAGCACTATCTATTAGCAAATGAAGAGTGGAAGGAAGATATAATGCCTGAATTTTAGATGGGCACAATGTCTATGACTTTGTTGACCCTGATATCTTAGAAAGGCTTGAAGAATTGGAGAGAGAAGAAGGTCTTCGTCAGGAGGAAGAAGGAGATGATGATTTTGAGATGGACGGTGCAGAGCTGACCCCTGAAGAACAAGCAGCATTAGCTGAAATCCGGAAAAAGAAAAGTTTGCTCATTCAACAGCATAGAATGAAGAAGAGCACCGCAGAGAGTCGACCCACTGTACCAAGAAAGTTTGATAAAGACAAGGAGTTTACTTCAAAAAGAATGGGAAGACAGTTATCTGCTTTGGGATTGGATCCAACTCTAGCAATCAATCGAGCCCGAAGTAAGTCAAGGGGTCGTAAACGAGAGAGATCAGTTGAACGTGGCGATGACAATGGTAATGAAGCAATGGATGTTGACGAGATTACTCCCAGCAAGAAGCAACGTAGGTCTAGATCTCTTTCCATGGCAAGATCAAGGTCAATGTCACGACCTCGAAGTGAATTTGTTCCAGGGGAGGGTTTCAAGGACAAACCCCAGAAGGAACAGGCTATAAAGTTGTTCAAGAAATCTGCTAATAAGAGGAACAAGGATGCTCGTCGGGGAGAGTCCGATAGAGTCATTCCTACTCTGAAACCAAAACATCTCTACTCTGGAAAGAGATCAAGTGGCAAAACTGACAGGCGGTAGTCACCAAGGTATATCTTACACCCCCTTTTAAGTTCCTTCCCAGACATTTTCAATTACAGGTCTTAGAGTATGCTTTCTCTAAACCGTGTTCGCCATTTCAAAAACTGTTTTGTTGTGTTCATAGATACATGTATACTTTTGAGTGTTCAAAACTTCTGTTGGTGCGTTATTCGGTTCCTTTCTCATACTTGGAAGATCAGTGACTAATGTGTGCAAGATACCAATTAATTACCTTCTGTTTTCCAGATGGCATTTTCCCGTCCTGCAGGATGACCACAGAATTTTGGGTGGCGATTAGAAATACATAAAGAGAACCTTTGTTGGAATGCCAGTTCAACTCAAGCTTAGTTTGGACACCTGCGCAGTTGAATTTTTCGTCTCTGTTATGCAATTTTGGAACTTACCTTGCATTTTTATTTGAGTTTGTATTTTTCATATTGTTTTTGAACTTCAAATTGTGGAAGAAATTTAGTTTTTCTTAATCAAAGATATGAGGAACAAGTCTAGACTGCAACCTGTTGCAGTTTTGTAATGGCAATGCAAAACTACAGATGGAAGTATTTAAATTTGTGTTTGAAATGCTGCTGAGTTTGCTCCCGTTTATTTTATCGTCTTAAAGTTATTATTGTTTTTTTCCCATCCAATTATATATTTTTATTTTACTTCTTTAATTTATGTTGGTAACTTTGAGAGGTCTCTGTTTCTGCCCCAAATACAGCAGAGATAAAATTCATCAGTCTCTGGCATCATACAAAAAAAAAACAAAACAGAAGCTTAACATTAGAGATTTCGCCACCAAATCAACAATTGTTAACAGATTCTACATTGGATGTCAGAAAAGGCACAGGTAAGCAAAGGCCGTACATTGACAATCTAAAAAGAAGAAAACAATTTAGGTAAAGGTCAATGTAGCCAACTGGTTCCTTTTAGTTAATGTAGTATTATGACATGTTTACGATAATAAGATTAAAAAATAATTTTTTATTCTATGTAGTTTAAGATCATAAAATTTAATGATTCCCTTTATTTTTTTAAAATTATATTGCCAAGTCAAATCTAAACAAACAATTTGAAAAAATTAATAAATTTCTTAACATGTATGCCAGACCCTTGAAAGTCACTTGGAAGACTTGAGGCGTTTCTCACCTAAGGATACCATGCATTAGATTTTTAATTTTACGTATAAGCTTATTTTAATATGATGTTAAAGTGGATGACAATTAGTAGACAAAGTGAAGAAAATATTGTCATCATACTTTTAATCATGTAAAATTATTCACTTTTATTGATATTTGTTTGCGAAAGAAATCTTACACCTATATAAAATAATATTTTCTTTCATGCATGAAAAAGAAGGGTGACAAAGTGTTTGGGATATATACTATTAACCATATATTTAGATATAGTATTTATGATAGAATATATTATTTATTCAGTTTTAATAAAAATTCTAATAGATCCTATACCAATAAATGATTTGTAATTTATTATGGTAAAAATACAATTATTTTCATAGTAGGAAGTCTTGTAATTAAGTGTTTATATTTAATTAGAACTCAAAATCCTATTTGGGATAAGTAGGGATTCTTCTAACCCTAGAAATCCACCAAAGTATTGAGAGAGTTTAGATGTAAACTTGGGATTACGATAGAAGACCACAAAACCGTTGTCTTTTGTCTAACTTGTGGCTTCGGTTGAAGATCTGTCTAACTTATGAATATGAATTCACTTCAAGGTGTTCGCTCATGCTGCAAGAGGTAATTCTTTAATTATATTTCAGCAAGTTTATGTATTCTAGCATAAACGTATTGATTATCTATTATTCTTTAATTATATTTCAACAAATTTATGTGTTTAAGTATAAACATATTGATTATCCGTTATTCCGGCAACCAATATGATTCTCAATAAATAAAAATTATTACCTAGTAAAAAGTTACCAAATATTTGGGTCTAAAAATACAGAAAACGAAAAAAAATAAATAAGTTTTCCTATTTCTACTTGGACTCGGTTTCTGCTTCTACATGAATTCGGTTTTCAAATAAATCTTCTTTTTATATAATACCCACAGACTCCATGTTAAACCCTTAATCTTTCTTCTCTAGGGTTTTCTCATCGTTGCTTCAAATGGCGATCGATATTGTTCCTCCGAAGAGACGCCGACTCACGGATGAATCGGAATTTGACGTCATCACCGGCGATGATGACGAACAACTCCAAATCTTGCTATGCTCAGAGGAATTGACACCGGCATACGACTATATGGATGAAGATATTAAGCCCATTCAGACATTCATCTCTGAAGAGGTTGATAGTAGAGACGTTGGGGTCACCGGAATGACGATCATGGTTGCTGGGTCTTCTTACATTCCGAAATTGAACGCAGAAAAGCCATTAGGTGAAGACGCAAGCTTTATTTGTCTTAACAAACAGGTGATCGGTGTTGCTGATGGTGTTGGTGGGTGGGCGAAAAAGGGCATCGATTCAGGTGTGTATTCAAGGGAATTGATGAAAAACGCTGAATTGGCAATTCAGAAGCAGAGTAGTATTACTACTATTGATTTGATGAAAGTTCTTAATGAAGCTTTTTCGAATACAAAGGCGAAGGGTTCTTCTACTGCTTGTATTCTGTCTCTTTCCGATGATACATTGCACGCTGTTAACGTCGGAGATAGTGGGTTTGTAGTAATAAGAGAGGGGATAATTGTGTATAAATCGAAAGTTCAGCAATCAAGGTTCAATTGTCCTTTTCAATTGGGGAATGGGAGTACTTCTGATGATCCGAGTGTAGCTGAGAAAATCAGTGTTCCAGTGATAGCAGGGGATGTGATCGTGTTGGGAACAGATGGATTGTTTGATAATGTACATGATTTCGAGTTAGAAGCAATTGTGAATTCAGGGGTGGAGTCATGGGAATCAGATGTGCCTGAGACATTGGCATGGAGGATTGCGCAGTATGCATTAGACAATGCCAAGAACACAGAGGTCTACACGCCTTTTACGAGAGAGTGTTTTAAAGATGGTGTTGTACGTAATGGTGGAAAGTATGATGATATTACTGTCATTGTCGCGAATATTTGGCCTTTGTAGTGCTCTCTGATCTAACTTACTTGGAGAGAAATTAGAGTTAAAACAATTTTTTTCGTAATAGTTGTAAATAATTGTTCTTCATAGGTTTGATATTAGCTGAGGAACAATCTTTATATGTAATTTGATTCGATTTGTTTCTCCATCTTCTTCTCTCGTCGATATGAACTTTGTAATATACGATTAACAAGAAATCAGGAAATTGTATTCCAATATCTTAGTGCTTCTGATAGAACAATGGAATCGATTTGAAAAATAGTGTTGAAGTCATTACCAGGGAGATCATTGAGAAAAGCTTGAATCTTTGGTATTCTTTGTACAATCTTTGTGACATTCGATTACTGTGAAAAGGGTGTTTAGTCCTGAAGATCAAATCAAAGAGGAACAACCCATTGAATAAACTGCAATTTATTGAATAAAAATAAAGTATCACTCCTTCAAAGATATTGAAATACAATTTCCTGAAATTATTCAATAACAATAATTTATAACTCCCTCAAAGATATTGGAATAATGTCTACAAGGAGTGTGGTACTTAACTATATTGTTAAGTGCAACATCTTGTTGTTCTTTCTCTGTCATTTCTTTCTTAAAGATATGACAATGTTGGAGAACTTACCCTTTTGAACCAACAAATGACAAGCCAGATGGTAGGCATATCTTTCAAACAAATAATCAACAACGGGATCTCCGAATTGGAAATGGCTAACAAGCATTTGTTCTAAAACAGCTCTCATGCTTCTTGCTATATGTTTACCACTGCTATATGCATCGAAACAAATATCATCAGCGTTGTCCCTCTCATCCCAGTTCACTTTGAAAAACTTTATGGTATCAACATCAAATGAGCCTTCCATTTGAACAATTTTTTCAACTTCATCCTTGCATGGTGCATAAAAAGGAAAATGAAAGGAGTCTAGTTTTGCCTGTTCAGTAAGTCCCTGCAGGCCATATCAAGAAAACATGAACATAGATTTAACAAAGGATTTAGTTTATTACACTGCAAGTCATTTTACACTATTAGTGCAATTTAAGTCTCTATAATAGCTTGTCGCTTCCCTGCAGAGCTTCGACAGAGTTTTTTTTTTTATCTCATTCGTACTCCAAGAATTCTAAAGGACTTTTATTTCATATTGCACCGGGCTGGAAAAGATTGGACTATTCCCTATCAAGACAACATAAACTCTTCAACACACATAATGGAAGCTTAGCGCACCACACTACCTCTTGTTGTAGTAAATCATTTCCTCTATTTTTTAGGTTACCAATTCATGACCGATATAATTTGTTAGATTTTTTGCGAAAATTGTAAGTATAACCAAGATTCAGGACTAATATAGTTTGTTACCTATAGTAACCTTCTAAACGACCAATACTGTAAGAAATTCTTTTTGCATTGCAAGTGTACTAAAGTTACGAATTACTAGAAGAAAGCAAGAAGTTAGCAGAGGCGAAGTAGTGGACCTCATGTATTAAATCAATGAATGACTTTGATAGAAGATCCAGATGAGCAGAGTGACTTCCATAGGGATCAGGAATGCTCCTTCCGACAAATGTCAAAACCATGTGTCCACCAGTTACTATTTCCTCGGAGCGTACTTGCAAAAACCTTGAGAAATCCTTGTCAAATTGCTTCATGTAGGCTTCAAATACTTGAGGAGGACTTGTCCTTGTTATGTAAATGTTGTTGTTGTTCTCAATCTTTTCAGGAGCCTACATGTTTAGTGTATCTTAGCACAAAAAGATTCCTCTTTGTAATATGTATATGATTTAACAAGATAACTAACTAGAGATAGTATGATTCATTGATACCTGAGAGAGCCAATGAAGACTATAAGATGAGTGAACCAAGTGCAACCTTTTGCTAGGAAATAGCCGCTCATAAAAGGTACCTGGAATGCCTGATACAAAACAATTTGCTCCAACTACTGCTTCTTTGAGATTCCGATAGAAGGATGGAATCGATTTGAAAATAGTGTTGAAGTCATTATCAGGAGATCATTCAGATAAGCTTGAAACTCTGGCATTTTGCAACTCTTTTCGTGGCATAAAACTTGTACAATCTTTATGATATTTGATAGTGTGAATAGTGTGTTTGGTCCTGAAGAGCAACCCAAGTCTGCCATATTAAAACATGACGACTTGGGAAAGTCACCAGTAATATTATTGAACATCTTCTTGATGGCATCTTCTAATACAGGTTTTGCCTTTTCTATAACCTTTCTCTGGAAATTAGGAAACATGAATTGAGTATTGATTACTTAGTTCATATAACAACAACAACAACACTAATTACGCGTCAATTTCAAGCAAGTTTGATTGGGCAGAACATGTAAGCAAGCTCAAACAAGCGGAGTTTGATTAGCATAAAAGAGAATTCATACGTACCTGAAGAGTGGAGCAGCTGGCATAACTGCATTCTCCATTGCCTGTATTCATATGCAGAAGCTTGCCCCTTGCCATTATTTCTGCCACACTCCTAGCTGTCTTTTTTATATCCCATTGTATGTCTT